AATAGCTTCTGGACTCAATATATTGTATATAGTGTTTTCAAATCTAAACTGAAATAAAAATCAAGAGATAATGCCTTTGATCCCACGAGTCAGAACAGTTACTGAATTTCCAGGTATGAGGTGATATCATAAGGACTGGGAAGCAAGAAGTAGCTAAAGAGATGGAGTACTTTCATTTATGAGCATGACAGTTCGGTAATTTTTAAAACCCTTTCAATTGTATATTATCACATAGATTCTTACAACTCTGAAAGAAAAAAATTAATTAAGTAAACAAGTAGCTTCAATGAATTTGTAAAAGTCCACAGGAGCTAACTGGTACAGCCAAGACTTCTTGGAATCAAGAAACACTAAGGAAAATAAATCTATCATAATACTGTCATAGGTGGTAATCACAAATCTACTGAAAGTCACTTTCTATAATTTATAAGGAAGATGCAAATTTTTATGAGGTTTTTCTGCCTTTAATCAAAGAGTCAAGATTCCTCACTACAATTAGTATATACTGTTACATATCTTAAATCTGTATACATGTTTTTAAATCAACAAGTATTTTCAAATCTCCTCTAAAGGAACTGGGTATGGTGGCACATGCCTGTAATCCTAGCACTGAGGCAGGCTTGCCACTTCAGTTTGAGACCAGCCTGGGCTATACAGTGAGCTAAGGCCAGCCTGCACTACAAAGTGAGACCTTATCTCAATCAATCAAATCGAATCAAATCTCCTCTAAATTTAAGCAAGCAATCATTTCAAGTTCTGGGCAGCAACCCTAGAGCCAAAGCCCTGTGTGACAGTTCTGTCCCTTGTTACACAGCACAAAAGAAATCTAAGGTTTCCTCAGGGATGCTCCCAGTACCAAATGGCACCATACTTCCAAGCCTATTAAAGTCTGAGGAGAAGCCAATCCACACTGTGCCAAGATTTCAGACCTAAGTACTGTGAGACTTGAAATAGGTATTGGTTTAAGCCAACAAGTTTGTGGTAATTTATTACACACCAACATAAAACTGTATCTTCTGAAAGAAAGACCACTTAATTACAGTAATGTATTTATTTGTGTATGTGCCCACTGTTATATGATAGCATCTATAAAATGTAATTATTTATACTCATATTATTTTTCCCCCCAGTGGGCACAAATGGTACGCTGCACACTGTCAACCCTAAATCAGTCATCCAGTGCACAAGATATGTGTATTCAATTGTCCAAACAATACCAGCACAAATCTTTCTTTTCAGTGAACTCAGAGAAATAAAGTAGTATACCTTAATATTTTTATATACATATACATACATTCACTAATGAGTATGTTCTCAAGTTGTATCCTTTTACCTATAAGTCTCCAGTTTATCCTTCTTTATGGCTGAGTAGTACTCCATCACATAAAAATACATCTCTTTTACCCATTCCTCATCAGAGGGTATTCAGGTTATTTCCAACCTAAATGGCTATTATAAACTGTGCTGCTAGAAACATGGGTGCACACAGACTGCTGTGGTATGATATTTTTAATTCTTTGGGGAAGATATCCAAAGGGGGAATAAGTTGGCTGAACGTGACCTCTAGTCCTAGTTTTTTGAGGAATCTCCACACTGATTTCCACTGTGGTTGCACTAGTCGGCATTCCCACCAAAAGAGGAGTAGGGGTCATTCTTCTCCACAGCCCCTCCAGCATTTGTTAGTGGTTGATTTCTTGAGAGTAGCCATTCTTTCCAGGGTGAGGTGGAATCTCAGTGTTATTTTAATTTGCATCTCTTGAATGACCAGTGCTGCTGAACATTTTTCACATATTTATTTGCTCTTTATATTTCTTCATCTGAGAAGTGTATATTCATCTCCAATGCCCATTTTTGGATTGGGTCTTTAAATCTGGAAAGTCTGTTTTTTTTTAGTTCTTTACATGTTTTTAATAGCAATCTTTTGTTTGAGGAACAGCTGACATTTTGTCCCAGATTACAGGTTGTCTCTTCAGTCTGTTGGTGGTTTCTCTTGCTGTGCAAAAGCTTTTCAGTAGGCTGAGATCCCAGTTGTTGGTTCTTTGTGACAGTTCCTATACACTCTTACTATTTTTATATATTTGTTTTTGTTTTTTTGGTACCAGGGATCAAACTCACAACCTTTTACATACCAGGCAGGTGCTTACACCAGTGAGCTAAATCCCTGGTTCATATTTTTAAATTAAAGTTCAAATGCAGAAAAAGTTTCTTAGTAAATTAAACTCAGACTAAGAAAAAGAATATCAAAATACTCCTAGCTTGAAAACTAAAACTTTTATACCTTTTTTTTTTTTTTTTGTCTTTGGAGACAAAGTCTCCCTGTGCAGTTCAGATGGCCTTGTTCTGATTTGGCCTCCCAAATGCTGAGATTATAAGCACACACCACCACGCCCAACTCAAACTTCTATAACTTGATGATGGGGTAAAAAACAGTATAACTACTTCAGAAAACTATTTGACAACAGCAAAACTGTCAAACTTCATATGCCAATACTATGACTCCAATTCCATACATTTGCATTGTAGACAAATATTCATAGCAGTATTAGCTACAGTGATCACAAACTGTCTTCCAAGAGAAGAATGGAAAAGCCATGGTTATTTTCCTTTGATAGAAAATTCACATCAATTAAAAAGAACAAACTAAGCTGGGTGTGGTGGTGCACATCTGTAACCTCAGCACTCAAGGGGCTGAAGCAGGAGGATTGCTGTGAGTTTGAGGTCAGCCGGGGCTATCTAGTGAGACTCCATCTCAAAAAAAAGAACAAACTAATAATATATACAACAAGGATGATTCTCACAGATACTGAGTGAAAGAAAGCAGAAACATAAAGTATGCAATAAAGAATGTAGATTACCTCAGTGGAGTTGTGTTATGACATGAATGTGTCCTGCCAAAAATTCACGTGAATATTAATACCTCCACTGTGATGGAATTAAGAGGTATGGACTTCAGAATGCAATTAGGCCACATGGGCTCTGCCTTGATGAGTAGAATCAGTGCCCTTACAAAAGAGGCTTGAACAAGCCATGTATGGTGGCACACGCCTGTAATTCCAGCACTCAGGAGCCTGAGACAGGAGGGTAACTGCAAGTTTAAAGCCAGTCTCAGCTACACAGTGAACTCACGGCCAGCTTTGAACTACACAACAAGTAGTCTCAAAAAAAATTATATATATATATATAGAGATAGATAGATAGATAGAGAGAGAGAGAGAGAGAGAGAGAGAGAGAGAGAGAGAGATTGAGATTTGAGGAGGCATGATGGCACATGCTTATAACGCCAGCACTCTGGAGGCTGAGGAAGGAGGATCCCTGACATTGAGAGCATCCCAGGGTACATAGTTCAGTGTCAGGCTGGACCACACAGTAAGATCCTGTCTTTAGGGGTAAACAAAAAGCAAAACAAAAAAAAGCTTAGGAGATACTACTATCTCTTGGGCCAATAACGAGGCACTATCTATGAAGCAGAGTGCAAATCCCTACCAGACTGCTGGAGTGCTTATCTGGGACGCTGCAACCTTCAGAACTATGACTTCAGAACAAGTTTTGTTGTTTATGTATTATTCATTCTAAGGTATTTTTTTAAAGCAGCAAAAACGGACTAACATGGAATATAAAGTCTAGGAAGGAGGAATGCTAAAGAAGCTCCTAATAGATGCTAAAATTGTTCTATATTTTGACCTGGCTGAAACTTTCATCATTACTTGCATATATAAATCATGACTGAGATGTAAGGTAGTAACACTTAAATGTGTCTTAGCCAGGCATGGTGGTGCATGCCTGTTATCCCATCACTTGGGAGGCTGAACTAGAAGGATCACTGCAAGTTCAAGATCAGCCTAAGCAAAGTGAGTTCAAAGGCAGCCCAAACTGTATAGTGAGACCTTGTCTCAAAATGACATACATACATATATACACACATACATAAAAATGTGTTTTATACTGTAATCTGCCCAAAATCTGTATGTCAAAATACATGTCTAAAGACAAAGATTTTAGGAGACGGGGCCTTTAGGAAGTGATAGAACTGGTAATCTCCTGAAAGGCCCCCGAGAAAATATCATTGCAAAACCCAGAAGAAAACGCCTACCAGAATCTAACAAGTTGGCATCCTGATCTCAGACTTCCAACCTCTAGCACTACGAGAAATAAGTTGATAAATGAATTAGCCACCCAATCTATAATATTTTGTTATAGCACACTAAGTGGACGACACATACTTCAAATAGGCATGGATTACTCATAAGAAAACACCCTGAAAAAAAGCAATGAAACACGAATGTTGTCAAACTACTCTACAAGTATATATTCGCAACAATATTTAAAAGAAATTATCAGTCATGGTCTTCTTTTAAACACAGTGCCTAACAGGTAAATTTCGCTTAATAAATGTTAGCTGAAATGCACAGTAAATTTCATAGATAATACCATAGTTGAGGTATTAGAAGTCCAAAGAAATCTGTATGTACAAATGGTATAGTAGCCTCAATACAGCAGATCACACAGCTGGGAAAAATTATGGCTGCTGTCCAATTAACTGACTTTTCATTCCAACAACATAAGTCAAGTATTAACCAAAGAAATGCAGATATTAACTGTTTGAGGTGAAAGCAACAACAGTTTTATTTTCATAATCTTACATGTGGGTAGGGGCAACTCTTTACTGTGGAGACCTAGAGCATGAGAAACTCACCCCTGCTGTAACAGAAAGCAACCTGGCCTCCCTGTTTCTAGGGATCAGACAGGCAGCAGCCACTCTCAGGCAGAGAGAGGAAAACTGGGAAGTGAGGGACAACTGACCCACTTAGGCAGGGGCAGACCACTGTGGACTGTGCAGCCACCTTACTATCCTTCCTGCTGGAGCACAGGAGACAAAATTCAAGAGGAGTCTCACCAGCAGCAAGACTAAGAAACTGAAGCAAAGGAAGTTTCAAATCCAAGAAGACCTGAAAAGACAACTAACGTTACCAAGAAAAAAGCAAAATAAAATTACACCTCACCTCACTATTGTGGCCCCGCAGGTTGAAGTTTATCCTCTGTGGAGTACTCCTGTCCCTGCGACAGTGGCTGGAAGTGAAAGTCACCCCCACTACACCGCGCCCGTTTCCCGTGGCCAACCAGCCTTCCTCGTAGTAACGCCTCCTACAAACAGGCTTCTCCTTCTCACTCTTGGGAACACGACCCTTCCAGGACAGGCAGAGGATGTTGGAGTCGCTGCAAAGCACAGGTCCATGTTCCACTGCTGCATACATACTTTTTTCAATGAATTCTTTTACTTAAAAAGTAATGCTTAATGCTGAAAATTTTAAACCAATTTCTTTCATCGGCTTATTTTGACGTCCTTGTCTGTTTCCCCCCTTTTAATTAAGACTGACCTGGAGCTAGTTAGAAGGTCAGTATTTTATAAAGATCCACCAAATGCATAGTGAAAAAATTCCTCTATAAAAGATGATGGCAGTCTGCTAAGAAAAGGTAATGCCTAAAAAAAACATGGGGTCCATTTTTATTTTCAAGTCCTTAGAGGAAGAATGCGCTGATCCTTTGGAGAAAGAGCATTATTAATAAGTGGTGATCAACATTTCTTCTTTTTTACTCAACTGAATTATTTTCATTCAGCCTGAGATTCCAGTTTTGTGTAATGTAATTCCAGAGACAAAGAGTTTCAAATACATAGATTTCAAGTAACTTAAGGCTTTAAGAATCCCTCTAGCTGGAATTTTCTATTCAAAAGTTCAGATGTAGAGACAGAACACACAGGATCATCTTCCTTCTGAAACCACCCTCTGGCATGTTTTCTGAACTAGACAAATTTCTGCTGCAAAAGCTGAAAAAGATTGCATAAAGGGAAAGAAAGGCACACAAACTGTGCAAAACAGACCAGAGTTTGTGCAGACAGCAGTTCAATTACAGGAAGAAAAACACTCTTCCTTGCTGTTCAGAAACCAGAAATTCCCTATCTTAAAGATGCTAGGCCCTGTGTCCCCGGGGAACCCAGGGTTCCCTGGGACAACTCCTCTGCCAACCAGCAGACCCCTCAGTGCCATAGAGGCTAGAAAACAAGGTCCTTCCACAGAGGCTGAGACTAAAGATATAAGTAGACCAAGTATTTGCCTTAGGGTAGTTCTAATTCTGCTTGCTAAAGGAGTAATACTGTTGGATTTTGTTTCTTTCGCTGGACTCTTTCTCACTTCCGAGTTACTTCTCTTTTCTATTTCTAAAGCTCGTGTATTTTTTCATCCTCAATTAAAAACAACTAATCTCAGCATTAAGTCCATCAAGTAATCTTCTCATAGGCAAGTCTTAGACTCAACACAGCTGACAATCCCTCAAACCACACACCCAGGATATGGTCAGAGTCTCCAGGACTGCACCATTTCTCTAGAATCACTGGGCTGACGGGTATTTTCCTGTTAACATTTAGAGCCTGTTTCCACACCTTTCGTCCAAGCAAAAGGAAGCTTTGCTTGGGTTTTCCTGGTTCTAACTGCTATTTTAAGATATTATCCTATAGGTGCAGAAAAGGAAAAGAATAAAATCTTCAAATTTAGTTAACTGAAAAAGGCAAAATGATGGAATCAGTTTAATGTTCAGACTTGTCCCATCACACCTGAACTTGCTTTCCTCCAGTCAAAACCAGAGTAGAAGTTACTTTTCAGTCCAGAATTTTAAACTCTGTCCAAATCACCAAACCCAATAAAAAATAAAGTGCAAAAACACTGCATGATCCCACCTGCAATGTTTGAATTCACACTTCCGTGATCACTTTCTCACTTCTGTGATCACTTTCTTTAAATTGGAGAGGTATTTTTGAGGCTTAATCTATATGAATTTTTTTCTTCTTTTTGCAAATTCTCTTTACCCATGAAGGCCATATGGAAAACTGGCCATTAGTGGTACACTTTTCTCCCTGGGCTCCTGAACCCAGCAGTGGCAAGTTGCTCCATCTGATTCTTAAATTAATTTTCATCAGTTGTAAATCTCTCAAATATGAACAAGAAGAATGAACCTGTCTTCTCATGTAAATGCGTATATATAGAAAGAAGGTTTCAAATATACATAGACACACTCTTCAACTGACACTTGAAGCATTTGTTCTCCCAGTTATTTTCAGGAACCATCAGGTTGATCGTGGCTTGAAGGCCTTGGAGTATTACAAATCTGTAAAATAAAACAAAACAAAAAAAGATAAAATAAAAGAACTTTAAAATACAAAGAATGAAATAACTTCTAATAGAATTGTTATAACTAACATTGGAGACCCATCTTTTTTTTTTGTACCAGGAATCGAACTTATGACCTCATGCTTGCCAGGCAGGCACTGTGACAGTGAGCTATATACCCGGCCCTGGAGAACCATCTTTACACTGACACTCTATCAAATGGAGTCAGTGACTGCACTGAGAGGTAAAATTAAAGTAGTCAGAGGATAGAGCCCCCATGAGCTTCAGGAAAACATATCAGTATCAGAAGTTTGACTAGCATGTACCAAAGTAATAAATTTGTCTATGGCTAGGCATATCTGAATAAAATCATTATCTCCACTCTTCTGTACTACACTGTTTTAGGACTCTGGGCCCCAAATGTGTGACTTTATTCATCTAAAAGTCCATTGTCACTGTTTAAGCCCGCATTCTCTAAAAAAGAGATTTAAGAGGTTAGGCAGGTTCTAAACTGATTTTTTCCATATCAGTTAAAGATAGTCCTAAGGATACAAAGCAGCAAGGGCCTTTAAAAGCCCTCTGTCCTTGACTGTTGGCAGGTCACCCAGCAAAGCACAAATGTTTATTTAGCTTTCAAATTTCCTGTGAGCAATAAAGTCCTAGATCATTTATCTTTAGCAAACCCACCCTTATCTTCCTTCCTACTGCTTGAGCTACAGGCTCACATTACATCCTCTGCAAAGGCTGCAAGTTTATCTCTAACTTTCCACTCTCACTTTAGAGGACTCTCAAAGAGTAAACTTTCTTATACGCAGCAGTGAAATTTCTATAGACCCTGAAGGGATAGGGTAGAGCTGAGGTGTCTATATTTCAAACAAATTCATAAGAAATCCTAATTCTGCTACCAGAGTACCACTGGTTTATGGGATTAAGTTTCAGTAAGATCTTCTCATAATAACTACTTAGTATCATACTCATATTGGCACAGATTTTGCTGTCCTCTCTGTGTTGACATTTGTAACAATGGTACAAAAGTAACAGTGATCAAACTGCAAGTCCCAGTATTAACCAAGGGAGGAAGACTACTCTATTAGCAGCCCACCAATGTTTTCAAAAGTCAGTCTCACTTTTGAGTATCTTTAATTCAGTGATTAAAAAGTATCACTTTTTTTTCTCAGACAGGGTATTGTTAAGATACTCTATCTAGAGTCAAAATTATGATCCTCCTGCTGACAGCCTTCCAAGTACCTGACAATACAGACACACACACTATATATATGACAGCAGTAAAAACCATTAATTTGATGAAAAATTTGCTGACTATTGATTCTTGAGTTCATAGTTTTTTAATAGCCTACTTTCCAAAATACTAAATATGTATTTAGTACTTCTAATGATTACTGAAGTACATTGTAACCCTAAGGACAAGCACTTGTGCTGCAGTTTAAATTGCAATTTCAACTAGTTGGATTTTTTCATGGTATACCATATTTATTGAGAAAAAATTATAAATTATGGTTATTCTGGTTTGGGTACTTGGGAGACATTATCTTGCACATGAATAAGATGAACCCATTACTATAAGGAAAACAACTGACATTGTTTATTACCAATGATAAAAGCTGACCTTTCAAATTAAAGTTAGAATTTTGGAAAAATCAGTATCTGTCACTAAAAATGTAACAGCTTACCAAAACTTAAAGACATTACTCATATAATTGGGTAAAAACCAAAAAATGTATATTTTTGTTTTGTATTTTATTCTGTGCTGCTATAGTTTGGGTATGTTTTATATTCCAAAGGTTTATGTACTGGAGGTTTGATCCCCAGTGTGGCAGTACCAAGAAGTGATTGAACCTTTGATCAAGTGGGAACTCTTAGGGTAACTGTGTCATAACCAGCCTCGTAAATGGATCAATGTTGGTCTTGTGCAGAGTGTTAGGTCTCACAGGAATGGATTAGTGCCACCAACACAACAAACCAGTCTGTAGTAAAACAGTAAGCCCGGCCCCTTTTTGATTTCTCTTACTTCCTCTATTGCCATGGGACCTCTCACAAGTGCTTCTGCCACCTGCCATGTTTGACACAGCCAGAGGCACTTACAAAGGGCAACAGATAGAGCCAACTAACCTTAAGAGTCTCAATTTCCAAAACTATGCACTAAATAAACTTTTTACTTTATAAGATACCCAGTCTCTGGTATTTTGTCACAATACAATACAAAATAGACTAAGACATGTCAGTATCTGAAAGACTTGCATCATTGGTATTTTCCAAATGTCCAATCATAAAAGAAACTTATCTGAATAAAAGATCCATTCAAGGCACAAGAAAGACAAATGGATTTTAATGTTACAAAGTATGAAAAATTCACTATTATATTTCAAAATCTATATTGCAACTGATCTTTAAGAAACTACAACTAGTTGCATTTTAGTATAATATCAAAGAAAAACATTAGGTTTTCTGAAAAATTATTAAAATTTTTTAATGATTTGTGCAAGATTAGATTTTCAAATAACAGGCCCTGGTACCAAAAAGTCTGAAAACCACACTTCAACCAAAACAATGTATTGCAACAGATTAAATGCTGAAATATGACAGCCTACTGCTAATCTTTCAGTAAGTTAGACATTAGAAATAACTGCCAAATATAAAATAGTATATATCCTTCTTAATAAATTTATTTTAGAAAGTTATTTTTCATTAAAATGTTCCTTATAATATTTAATGGGTTTTTAAAAATTAATTAGTTCACTTTTAAATTTCTGCTTTAATTTTTCATACATATGTGTCAACAGATAACCACATAAATAACAACTCTTTTGGGTTTTCAGTAATTTTTTATGAATTAAACAAAAATAACAGGCCCTGGTACCAAAAAGTCTGAAAACCATTCTACATATATGTAAATCTTAAATGATTATAATTGAAGTATGTAGGATAAATTGCCATAATAAAAACTCAAGTGAGGTATGGTGGGTGGCACACACATGTAATTTCAGCTACTTGAAAGGCTGAAACAAGAAGATTATAAATTCAAGACAAGTTTATACAATTTAGTGAGATTCTGTCTCTCTTTTTTTTTTAAGCAGTGGGTGGTTAGGGGAATATAGTTCAGCAGTAGAACACTTAGCATACACAAGGCTCTGGGTCTAATCTCCAGTGTGTATGGTGGAGGAGAATCTTAAAATGTTTCATTTTTTAATATATTCTTAAGAGTTTTAACCAAACCTTTTTTTTTTTTTTTTGGCTTATTGTTGATATTGTTATTTTGCTGTTGTTTTCTGATACAGAATTTTGCTATGTGGTTCAGAATGGCCTTGAACTCACTACGTAGCCCTCGACTTCGAGGTGATCCTCCTGCCTCAGCCTGTCGAGCGCTGGGATTACAGGTGTGTACCACCATCCTAGTTGTCTGCTTTTTGTGACAGGGTCTCACTATGTAGTACAGGTTGGCTTTGAACTCACTATGTAGCTGGCACTATGAGGCTGGCCTCAAATTCAGTAGTACTCTTGCCTCAGCCTCCTAACTGCTAAGATTACAGGTGTGTACTGCCATACTGCCTCAGTGCCCTGTGTGTTAGACAAATATGGCACATATTAATTATAACAAAAAAAGACATGCTACTTTACTCTGACTCAAAGTAAATAATGAAATAAAAAATCTAACAGCAAAGAAGCACAACCCAACATCCTAATTTCTGAAAAGCTGGAGCCAATTTTTGTACTGCCATTAATGAAAATGGGTGATGTCAAACACTCTTCCTTTCTGCCTTACATTTTCACAATGATGAGAAAATGAAGACAATAACTGATTAGTTTTTGAGGGATAATAAGATTTTAAGTAAACATTAATCAGGGGACTAAAAAGATTAAAAAAAAACAAGTAGGATCTTGAACAGGTATCCATTTGCCACTACCTATAGCAGCATGATTCATGAGATCGAAAACGCAGAAAACAATCCAATATGGATGAACAAAATATAGTATTATGCACACTGTGCAACAGAGTAGCATTTACCTCTAAAAAGAAAGGAAATTCTGATATATGCAACAATATGAATAAGCCTTGCAGATACTATGTAAGTGAAAGATGCCAGTAACAAAACAGAAATACTTTATGATTCCATTTATAGTAAGGACCTACAAAAGTCAGATTCATAGAGCATAATTCTCACTAGAAGGGTGGCTATCAGGGGCTGAGGGAAAAATGGAAAGTTATAGGTATAGTGTGTCAGTTTTGTGAGATGAAAAGAACGCTGGAGGCAAATAGTTGCAAAATGAGAATGTGCTTTAATGCCACTGAACTGTACATTTAAAATGCTAAAAATAGTAAATTTAATGTTATATATATTTCACCTAACTTTTTAAAAATCAAGTAATTTTTTGAAAGAAACCGTCATAAGCCTGTCAGTAACAAACTGAAAGTAAATCCTCTGTTGTCATGATGTCTTTTTGCCATGAACATTGTAATACAGACCTCAGAGCAACATAAGCAATGCTTAATTTCTGTACTCTGACCCAAACCTGCTTCTGGTAATTATAGCTGACTTTCAGAACAATTCTATGATCACTGAAAAACCCATTCCTGCTTTTAAGAGACTGTGATCTCAAACCAAACAACAAATGTGCCTGACTGAATTAGTATCTGAAGGACTAGAGGCCAGAACAAATTTATTAGATGCTTCTTCCCCAACTTTCCATTCTATCCAGACCTAATGGAAAACTTATGCGTCCAGAATTTAGGAAAGCACAATTTAGAGATGGAATGGTATACTTTTGAGGGAATAAAATCTTGCAGGTATTATAGACACACAACTTAATCAACCAAAAAATTTAACTGAACATCTATACACAAAAGATCTGT